TTTTACGGATTCCCTTCCAACGCTTCTTGTATTTTCCAGTCAATTCAAAGGTTGACTTTCCTGGAACTACGTACCAGTCTCTTAGCCGTTTACTAATCAACCGAATTTCTTTTAGGCGATATAATTGATCATCGTTCAATTCAAGGTCGTTGAATACTTCAGTTTTTGATTTTACCTGACTCCAGTAATAAGTTTGTTGCCAAACACTAAATGGCATGTGCGTGCTTATGATTGGAGGAACGATACTGTCACGTGATTGCCGCATAAAGTTACTCCGTACAATGTGCAATAAGTCAAAATATAACACACCCACGTGTAGGTTGGGAGCCTGAAATTGAAGTCGGTATAATGGATGTAAGCGTTGCCCTCGCCGGCATTCTTGAAAGCTTACCCACACGGCACGCCAGCCTGTAAATTTCAAGGACATGGTAAAGATGCATTCGGGCTTTATAAATTTGTAAGTATAAACGTGCGGGTAAAACGATACGGTTATTTCTCCGGAAATAGTTTTCCGTTGATAAATCCAAACTTTCACTCCTCCTTTGAAAAGATGTCTTCCCTTGATAGGGTGATGAGATAAGTCCAGTGTAAGAATATCTCTTCGAGACCAAAACCATTTGAGTGCACGGTGATTATGCTTGTAAACGTCATCTGACGAAATCAATTTCGACGAAGGAGAAACTTTGAAATAAGGAAGACTCCGTTCATCTGTTGATACAATGGGATAAGTATGGGTTACCCAGGGGTTTGTTTATATGTATTGTATGGATGAATCTCTTCAACATACCGTATATTTCACCAGCAATAAGAATAACGAGAGTTGTCATCACAATGATGTGTTTCTGCTTCTTTCTGTACTTCATAACACACAGTATAAATGAATGAATGTTAATATTTTGTCAATGAAGACATTTGTTGATCTTTGCTATGGAAGTTACTGATTTTCGAGCTATAAGATTTACTTCGACATGGTAGTCTTGTGGTTATTTTGTGATTCCAACGACGATAGACTTATCACAAATTTACAGGTTTTCGTTTTAATGTTATTGAGATCATATCTTGTTATTTGATAACAGCCGTTTCCATTACTCTGCCGCAACTTGGCTGAAAAAATTACTTCATGTTGAGATAAACTGTCGACAATTGACTTTAAAGTGCGCACGTGGAAGCTATTACAGACAAAAAGTCTTTAATATCAATCTGATTGTTTGACTTTATTCATGACTATCTTTTACCATTGTGATAGTTGAATATTTGTTGGTTGTTGGTTAAATTTGCCTGTTGCAAGTTATCGTTATTATTTTAAAATGTATCAATGCTAATTAACATAATCTGCGTTTGCGGGTGGTGTCTATTTCTAACTCAAGATGATTGATGAGCACTTTGTGCATTTGAAATTGTGTTCCGATAAACATTTGTTAAAACAGTTAGTTTGACGATACTTTTTTGTGTATCCACACGCATTCATGAAATCGACATCTATTCATTCATATAATATTTAACTTTGAAGTGCCGCAGTATTTTTATCTGGGGTTTTCAGTTACAACTTTTTTTCTTAAAGCTTTCGTTCCACAAATTTACTGTGTAAAACAATACCATTTGAAATCGTTTTTCTGTTTTCAGAGTCGCTCACATCTGGGATTATCTGCGTATGTGAAGTGTCATTTTGACGTTTTGTATGGCCAAGTCGTCATTCTATGTTAAAATGAGTCTGAAATAAATCCCTGTTGAGCACGAGGTGAGAAAGGTCAATCTATAAATACAACCTTGATAATTAATGAGTCTTCGTATCCTTATAATGTACAAATAATTTTATTGCTTATACTATCAGGTAAGTTGCTTCATCAAATAGATATCGCATTCATTTGAAGTGACATGCGCAGTAACTCGATGTCTGTTGTGTGATGATTGCTTACCTTAATCTCTATTTATGTATATCTATTTATGATTCATGTTATGATCTTCAAACCTATTGAGTTCTTTGCTTGGCTTTCCACACATTTGTAATGGTAGCACACTAAGATAAACTGTGGGTGTCTCTCGTGTCAGACTGCACTAACTAAATCTGATGAAAACAAGTTTCATTTTAAAAAATATCTTTCGAAAATATTTCGGCTAAAAACCAAATAATTCATTTGCTGAAAATTTCTTGTCTAAAACTTTGCGTCGTAATAAATGATAGTAATGGTTTTCATAAAATAATTAAAGTTTTTTTACTGTCCTTTATAAATTTACGGTTTGCATTGTTGCCCAAGTATTAGATTGTGCACGGTAAACAGCACGATGTGAATAGTGCCTGTTTTGGGTGTTATCAATGGGAATGGGATCTTGTTATTTTAGTTCTGACGAAAAATACAAAGCAAAGATGGCTGTATGGCGATGTTAAATTTATTTTGAACACTATCACGAATAGTAAGCTGTACATACAGAACAAAGAAAATTTAGAACAAAAAATGTTAAAATATTGCTGTAGCAGAGCAAAAAATTACTGAAAAGCTTTGCATTGACTACTTTCCTATTTTAGAAAATTTTTGCCTATCAAACCAAAAAACTATATTTCGGCATTTGTGATTTTATTCAAGTAAACTACCCGTATCATGACGGTTGACATAAAATATGTAAGAAAATGTAGAATATTATTTGATACACTGGAAAAACAATTGCCACAGGCCAACTTCGTTTTTATTGACATCAGAAGTAATTCTCTACAGATGTTTGTGCTCATATCAAGACATTCAACTGAATCAAGATATGATTCACCATCATGGCCACCAACCGCAACAATAATATTTCCAATGATAACTGCTGAACATAAATACCTTCCATGATTAAGAGAAGGAAGCATTTTAGTTTGTCCTGTTTTTATATCATACATCAAAACTTCACGTAATCTTTCTTTTTTATCATTTAAACCTCCAATCAAGATTGCATTACCTTTATAACTTACTATACCCATATTTCGTATAGGATATGGAAGTGGAGCCAAGGTTTTACATTCCTTTTTCTTGAGATTGTATGAGTAAACAGTTTTTTTTGATATCTTTCAATTGCGCAGATGCTGCCCCACCAAATACCAAAACATCGTCGTCATTAATAAGCGAGCTATAGTAACATCTTGGTTCTGGTATTCGTGCCAGTAATTTCAGTGTATGTGGAGGATTTAGTTGAATGCTGTGGATTATATCAGAGGCTTGGTTATTTATAGTGCGTCCACCAATCATAATCACAATTTCATCATGATAAACAATACCATTTCCCCCACATTGTGTTGGCATCATGACATTAAATATTTTCCATTGTAGTTTCCATCCACATTCAAACTTTCCATATTTCCAAAGCTTTGGTTCCCATTGAAACCACAGCTGACGAATAATTCTCGACCGTGAACAAATGCAGCTGCTGCAGATCGTTTTTCTTTCATTTTTGGTTCCAGTTGCCAACAATTTGAATCCCAGTCGAAAGGCTCAACAGAATTTAGAGGATTTTCGCCATCAAAACCTCCTCAAACAAAAATCTTTATTTTTCCCGTTAGAAAATTGCATCGTTGTGTCGATTCTGCTGTAAGAAACGTCATTTCATTACGACTTAACCTCACTTGCTCTTCAACATGAGTCACCATTTCATTGCAAGCCAACTTCACTTTTTCTTCAACATGAGTCACCGTTTCAGTACGAGTCAAATTCACCCGCTCTTCAACATTCTTTACCCTGTCATCTTGACTCTTTTGAAACATTTCCAATCTTTTCGTTAACTCGTCGATTTCCTTCCTCATGAAACATAAATGAGATCTTCGATACTTAAATATGAGAATCATTTTACATTCTTCATAATCGATAAGACGGAACTCACATCGTTCCTGTTCATGTTCTTCAATCTCGTTTTTATTAAAGACTTCGTTACAACCTTTATTTCTACAAGGTGTAGGTGAATAACCACAGTTCTTCTCATGACGTTGAAGAAATTGAAGGTTCATAATTTCAGGACAACCACGGTTGGCATTCACACAGCGACTATCATGATCTTCTAACATTTCCCTAATGAACCTCGCGGTCTTTAATGTCTCCTTAGTGAGATGACATCGACATTTAGGGGGGATGTTAGATCTTTGCAAATATATTTCGATACAAGCACGACAGAAATAATGTTCGTTTGGACATTGAACAGGATCCTTAAATATTTTAAAACGTATAGGATATTCAAATCTTCGATGAACTTTATTGGTAAATCTCTCCAGTTCATATCCACCTTTCGAGTCATTTGTAGCCATTGTTGAAGACTTTTATAATTTACTGACCAAGTCTACATTGTATGTTCGTATTTCTATTTCATGAAATAATGTTTCCATTTTCTTTATGCATATCTTCCATCTTTTGATCGATTTTTGAATGTCTTTGACAAGATGACTTCCTCGGGTTTTTATTTTCTCAAAACATGTCTCGCTTTCTAAAACGATAGATGTCTACGATCCTTTATTTTATGTTTCGTCGTTAAAAGAAAATTGATGGATGATTTGTAGTAAGCTTACGACAAAACTGTTGTCTTGTTTTCAAGCTGTGATCTTTTGTACAATTTCATGCATGATTACGGCAGAGCGAAAATTCATTTGATACAGTTATGCAGAAAATTATACTTTAATGCTAATCATTTCTTGGTTGAAATAAATTCAGGCAAAACTGTTTCATAACATACCATATTATGACAGTTTTATGTTGTTGTTATTTAGCATATTTTAAGAAAGATGATTTGTTTACTCTGCTTTAATTTTATACAACAAAACAGTTTTAATTTGAAAGCTTAACGATAAACATTTTTTTGATGTTGATGCACAATTTATTTGATAAAGTTAACATTTTATCGTGAAATAAAAAAAACTTGGTATGCTTCTTGGGGCTACATGAAAGAAATGGTTGTTTTGATTTAAGTTGTAATCAAATCACTTTTAGCTTGCGATCTTTTGTACATTTAATGTATATTTTATTAATAATACAGTTTTCCATAACTGTGCATAAAATGTTTTTTAATCATTACCGAGGACAGGTATTCAAAGAAATCAGTTGTTACGGTTTTTAATGTTGGGTACGATCATGACCTAGGTAGCTATATCTGTGTACTTGTGTGACGACTATGACCTAGGTAGCTATATCTGTGTACATGTGTGACGATTATGACCTAGGTAGCTATATCTGTGTACATGTGTGACAATCATGACCTAGGTAGCTATATCTGTGTACATGTGTGACGATCATGACCTAGGTAGCTATATCTGTGTACATGTGTGATCATGACCTAGGTAGCTATATCTGTGTACATGTGTGACAATCATGACCTAGGTAGCTATATCTGTGTACATGTGTGACAATCATGACCTAGGTAGCTATATCTGTGTACTTGTGTGACGATCATGACCTTGGTAGATATATCTGTGTACTTGTGTGACGATCATGACCTAGGTAGCTATATCTGTGTACATGTGTGACGATCATGACCTAGGTAGCTATATCTTTGTACTTGTGTGACGACCATGACCTAGGTAGCTATATCTGTGTACTTGTGTGACAATCATGACGTAGGTAGCTATATCTGTGTACATGTGTGACAAACATGACCTAGGTAGCTATATCTGTGTACTTGTGTGAGGATCATGACCTAGGTAGATATATCTATGTACATGTGTGACGATCATGACCTATGTAGCTATATCTTTGTATTTGTGTGACGATCATGACCTATGTAGCTATATCTGTGTACATGTGTGATGATCATGACCTATGTAGCTATATCTTTGTACTTGTGTGACGATCATGACCTAGGTAGCTATATCTGTGTACTTGTGTGACAATCATGACCTAGGTAGCTATATCTGTGTACATGTGTGACGATCATGACCTAGGTAGCTATTTCTGTGTACATGTGTGACGATCATGACCTAGGTAGCTATATCTTTGTACATGTGTGACAATCATGACCTAGGTAGCTATATCTGTGTACATGTGTGACGATCATGACCTAGGTAGCTATTTCTGTGTACATGTGTGACGATCATGACCCAGGTAGCTATATCTTTGTACATGTGTGACAATCATGACCTAGGTAGCTATATCTGTGTACTTGTGTGACGATCATGACCTAGGTAGATATATCTGTGTACTTGTGTGACGATCATGACCTAGGTAGCTATATCTTTGTACTTGTGTGACGATCATGACCTAGGTAGCTATATCTGTGTACATGTGTGACGATTATGACCTAGGTAGCTATATCTGCGTACATGTGTGACAATCATGACCTAGGTAGCTATATCTGTGTACATGTGTGACAATCATGACCTAGGTAGCTATATCTGTGTACATGTGTGACGATCATGACCTAGGTAGCTATATCTGTGTACATGTGTGACAATCAAGACCTAGGTAGCTATATCTGTGTACATATGTGACAATCAAGACCTAGGTAGCTATATCTGTGTACATGTGTGACAATCATGACCTAGGTAGCTATATCTGTGTACATGTGTGACAATCATGACCTAGGTAGCTATATCTGTGTACATATGTGACAATCATGACCTAGGTAGCTATATCTGTGTACATGTGTGACAATCAAGACCTAGGTAGCTATATCTGTGTACATATGTGACAATCAAGACCTAGGTAGCTATATCTTTGTACATATGTGACAACAAAGACCTAGGTAGCTATATCTGTGTACATGTGTGACAATCATGACCTTGGTAGCTATGTCTGTGTACATGTGTGACAATCATGACCTAGGTAGCTATATCTGTGTACATGTGTGACAATCATGACCTAGGTAGCTATATCTGTGTACATGTGTGACAATCATGACCTAGGTAGCTATATCTGTGTACATGTGTGACAATCATGACCTAGGTAGCTATATCTGTGTACATATGTGACAATCAAGACCTAGGTAGCTATATCTTTGTACATGTGACAATAAAGACCTAGGTAGCTATATCTGTGTACATGTGTGACAATCATGACCTAGTAGCTATATCTGTGTACATGTGTGACAATCAATGGTAGCTATATCTGTGCTATATCTGTGTACATGTGTGACAATCATGACCTAGGTAGCTATATCTGTGTACATGTGTGACGATCATGACCTAGGTAGCTATATCTGTGTACTTATGTGACAATTATTAAGAATAATTAACATGCTGTTGCAAAATATGTTTTTAGAAACTTTAAGGTAATTATTTACATTGCATTGTAAGTTACGTACATGTTAACGGTTTATCAGTAATACAAATCTCATCATGAAAATTGACATTTCTTAAAATGGCTACGATAAAAGAGGTAGGCGCCCTATTCGAGCAAAAACGTACTTTAAACTACAGATTTAAGTTTGTAAAATGACTGTTTCATTTTACGACTGCAAAAAATTGTTTTAGTAAAACATAAAACATGTATGTTTTGGTAATGAAATTTTTAATATATTGGTGAAACAACTGCGGCAGGAAAACTTCGTTTGGTCGTCATAGGAGGTAGTTCTCTCCAAACGTTTGTACTCATATCAAGACATTCAACAGAATCAAGAAATGATTCACCATCATCTCCACCAACCACAACAATAATATTTCCAATGATAACTGCTGAACATCCTGCTCTTTTATGATTAAGTGAAGGAAGTATTTTAGTTTGTTCTGTTTTTACATCATACATCAAAACTTTATCTAGTCTTTCACCTTTATCATTTAAACCTCCAATCAAAATTACATTACCTTTATAACTGACTATACCCATGGCTTTTACAGGATATGGAAGTGGAGCCAAGGTTTTACATTCCTTTTTACTGAGACTGTATGAATAAACAGTGTTTTTGATATCTTTCAATTGTGCAGATGTTTCCCCACCAAATACTAAAACATCGTCGCCAATGAGAATTGAGCCATGGTAAAATCTTGGCTCTGGTATTCGCGCCAATAATTTTGTCGTATGTGGAGGATTTAGTTGAATACTGTAGATTGTATCAAAGACTTCGTTACTATTACATCCACCAATCATAATCACATTATCATTATGATAAATCATACTATGTCCATTACACTTTCTTGGTAACATGACATGAGATATTTTCCATTGCAATTTTCCATCCACATTTAAACTTTCAATATTTCCAAACTGTTGTTTCCCATTCCAACCACCACAGACAAATATTTCTCGATTATGAACAAATGCAGTTGCTCCAGATCGTTCTTCATTCATTTTTGGTACCTGTTGCCAACAATTTGAATCCCAGTTGAAAGACTCGACAGAATTCAAACGATGCATTCCATCTCTTCCTCCGCCAACAAAAATCTTTATTTTTCCCGTAAGAAAATTATATCTTTCTGTCGTTTCTGTTGTAAGAAACGTCATTTCATTATGACTTAATCTCATTTGCTCTTCAACATGAGTCACCATTTCATTACGATTCAACTTCATTTGCTTTTCAACATGAGTCACCATTTCATTACGATTCAACTTCATTTGCTTTTCAACATGAGTCACCATTTCATCACGATTCAACTTCATTTGCTCTTCAACACGATTTGCCGTTTCATCACGATTCAACTTCATTTGCTTTTCAAATATCTTTTGAAACATCTCCAATCTTTTGGTCAACTCGTTAATCTCTTTCCTCAAGAAACATGAATGAGATCGTCTGTATCTGAACACAAGCATCATTTTGCATTCTTCACAATCGATGAGACGGAACTCACATCGTTTCCTTTCGTGTTCTTCAATCTCGTTTTTATTAAGGACTTCGTCACAACCTTTATTTGTACAAGGTTTAGGTGAATAACCACAGTTCTTCTCATGACGTTCGAGAAATTGAAGCTTCATAATTTGAGGACAACCGCGCTTGGCATTCACACAGCGAATATCAAGATCTTCTAACATTTCGGTGACAATTCTAGGTATATCCTGCAATGTCTCCGACGTGATTTGACAGTTACATTGAGGACATTTATTAGAAGAAAGTAAACATCTTTCTATGCAAGAACGACAGAAATGATGCTGATTTGGACATTGAACAGGATCCTTAATTATTTTGAAACATATGGGACATTCAAATCTTGGATGAACTTTATCGAGAAATCTCTCTTGTTCATATCCACCATACGAGTCATTTGTAGCCATTGTTGAAGACTTTTATAATTTACTGACCAAGTCTACATTGTATGTTCGTATTTCTATTTAATGAAATAATGTTTTCATTTTCTATATGCATATCTTCCATCTTTTTATCGATTCTTGAATGACTTTGACAAGATGACCTCCTCGGGTTTTTATTTTCTCAAAACATGTCTTGCTTTCTAAAACGATAGATGTCTACGATTTTATGTTCTGCTATGGAAAGAAAATGGGTGGATGATTCAACACAAAGTTTTTGCCAAAGTTGTTTTCAAGCTGTGATCTTTTGTAAAGTTTGATGCATGATTTCGGCTGGACAATAGTTTATTATGATAAGTTCCTGCATAAAATTATACTTAAAGGATAATAATTGTTTCTTTATAATCAGTTGAGAGAAAATTGTTTCATATATTATCATAAACTTGTCAAGTTATTATGGCTTTATGATATTTTTTATTTAAGTTTATTGTTATTCAGTTATATTCATTTCTTTAATTGTACAATCGTCGCCAAATTTTTAGTAAATCAGTTCAAACTGTGATCTTTTCAACCGTTTAATGTATTCAACATTTTATCAAAGTAATAAAAGTTTATTTTACAATAATGTATCGAGAATGTTTAATTATTACCAAGAATTCGTGTTCAAAGAGTCTAATGTTTCGATGTTTTAAGTTGGGTGAAGACCGTGGGCTTGGGGTTGGGTCCAGTTGGGTCACACTTTCTCTGACTGTGTAAAATAGGTACGTTGTGCGTACAAAAATTGTTGATGATGTTACAAAACATGTTTTGGTTGTGGTAAAAATTTCCGTCCACGTATTTTATCCAAAACTGTCCTAAGAACTGAAGGATATTAGAAGTTTTTCGGTAAAAAAGTCAACGGGACGTCAATTTTTAATATCTCAAGGATTATGAAGACTTTATATAGTCACTTTACTGTTGTTAAAAAAAATAGTCGGTTGAAAAACATACATTCCAATATTACTAGTTCAGAAAATGAATTCTTTAATAAATACAAAAAATTAAGCCATCATTTGCCGTATAAGATATTAACATATGTTTAAAAAGGTATGAATTTAATTTTGTTTGCGTTGTAGGAACCCATCCAGCTAATTAGTAAACAGGTCAGTGGTCAATGTATCAATGTTCACTCAACAAATTTTCTAATAGAAACTTCGAACATTTTTAGGGAAAATGCACCGTAGAGTTATAGCACATCGTTTAAATGCAAAACGTCGCACAGCAGATGTCTTAATCAATGAGAAAGTCGATTTCTCAGGGTTAATTTTATCCAAAGATGTCCTCAATGGGTTGAAAAGTGCTGGATTTGAAAGACCATCCCCAATTCTACTGAAAGCTATTCCTATTGGTCGTTGTGGTGTAGGTGAGCAGATTGTATATAATGCTTGTTTTTCTGTAGGATGTTTCTTTGTTGACAACATTTTCATACATTCAGCTAAATTTTGCCATGTGTCATGTGGGCAGTGAG